AGATGAAAAGTAGCTTGTTATTAGCTAACTCTCTAAAAATACATTTTATATGAAACAGAGGGAAAAAGATGTATGCTCATACTTTGACTTGACTTTCCAATACAGTACCTGGCCTTGAGACAGGAAGTTGGCCATGAGTGCTCCTCTAACAGCGTTTTCTAGGTCAGTGTCCTCAAAGATGATCAGTGGAGATTTACCACCGAGCTCCAGTGTCACTGGTTTAACCCCTCGGGAGGCCATTTCCATTATCTGTTGGGCCAAAATGGGCATTTGAATCAAGTGCAGTTTCCATTACATTTACTATTACTTAGTGACTTTTTCTCAATAGAGTGTATAACATTGGGTATAATAAACTCAACTTGGATTAAAGGAATAGTTCACCCAAAACTTGAAACTGAAAATGTTCTCACCCTCAGACCATCCAAAATCCACTGATGGCAGATGGAATATTCTGACGATGCTTTTCATATTTTTCTTGACCTTGACAGTGTATTTTACTTGGCAGTCAATGGGACAGTCACAAGCCTTCATCCAAAATATCTTAAATTGTGTTCCGAAGACGAACAAAGCTTTTACGGGTTTGGAACGACATGGGGGTAAGTGATTAATGACAGAATTTTCATTTCGGGGTGAAGTATCCCTTTAAGAAAGAAGTCTCTTATGCTTACCAAGGATGCATTTATTTGATAGACAGAAATATTATAAAATATTACATTTGAAAAGAAGTGTTTTCTATTTTAATGTATTTTAAAATGTAACCGAATCTGAAATTTCAGCATCATTACTCCAGTCTTCAGTGTCACATGATCCTTCAGAAATCATTCTAATATGCTGATTTGCTGCTCAGTTATCAATTATTATTAACGCTTAATTTTTTAATAATGGTTCTTATTATTACCAATGTTGAAAGCAGTTTTTGTGGCTTAATATTTTTAATCTGTGGTCTTTTCCCCCCAAGATTCTTTGATGAATAGAAAGAAAAGAATGTATTTGAAATAAAAAATATTTTGTAACATTATAAATGACCTTACTGACACTTTTGATCAACTTAACATTTGGTACTGTATCTCTTATGACAATGCTCAATGCCAAAACAACTAACCTGAAAGTGTGGTGGCTTGTCCTGCAAAATACTCAATGCACAGTCTGGCCGAGTCCACATCTAAACGGGCTTCGGTGATAGACTTGCCATTGTTGACGACCTCTATCTCAGCAATCTCCTCTCTTCTCTTCTATTCTCAATAACAGAAATAACTGAAAAGATCAGACTCAACATGACTTGAATCAATGCAGCACTATTATGTAATATTTTAGTATGCTTGATCAATGCATTCAGGTCTAGCTGCCTCTAGCATGACTCTGACTCTTTCCATGCCTGCCAATTTACTCCACACTGTCAAAGCAGCACTGGCGCTCCTAACAGCTGCATCAACATCTGCGGCGCAACAAGCTTGTAGTTGGCACAGGACACGACCTGGGATACATTCATAAAGATCAGAGATGACAGTGTTTTTCATAGAACAATATGGTGTCTTGAAGAACTCAATGGAGTATGCATAGCCAGATAGCCATTGGGCAATGCTTAGAAGGGGGTGAAATGAAAAAAAAAAATCAGTTTAGTAAATACATTACCTGTTGCAGGCTCATATACTGGTTCGGATTTGGTTTTCACATCTTTGAGGTTTACTCGGCCTCCACACCAGAAGTTCAGTGGATCTGTGATATGAAGGGTTCCTGAGGATATGCTCCTTGTCCTGGTGTAGTGCAGGGCCCCTCGGAGACCCGGGGTCCGGAGACAGCTCAGCAAGGCCATCTTCAAATGCCTAACACTGAACTTTGACCCCCCTAGACGAGTGTCAACAAATGGGAACTTCTCAGATTTTGCACCAAAACAGAGTGTTACAACAAAAAAAACAGTCAAGCGTTAAAAAAAATAAATTTAAAGTTAAATAATTTTTATAAAAACTTCATGCCTATGTTATCCCCTGCGAAATCTGTCTGCAAAAGTCAAAAGTAACAACATCAGCCGTCCGTTTAAATGCAACCTACAACAAGCAAGTGTTGGGTTTGAAAATACTAGTAAGCAAAGGTTTTGCAGCGACAGCCGTTCACTCACTTCCTGCTGCAGCAGGTCACTCTGACAGTGTTGCCAACTAATTTTCAGGGGAAGTTGCTAAATGACGAGTTCGGATCAGTCTGGCCATGTTCCAGCATTTTAGGGCGGGCCTTCTGCTCAAGAACGACTCCCATTGGTTTCTTCTTGATGATGTCATCTGACGGTTCCGCAAATAAAAAAAACTAAATGTAATTACTAATTAATGTCACACTTTGTATAGCACTGACTGTCTTATACTATGCTCTGTTTGTTATTGGGTCTATTTTCATTAATAAAAAACTAAAAAAACTAAATGTAATTTGAGAATGATGCATTATGCTAAATTGATTGTACTTGTGTAATATGTACTTTTGCTGGAAATGTTCTGTGTTTGCACTATTGTTATGTTTATTAAAAAAACCTATATTATAATAAAAATTATTTAAAAAAAACCCGTTGTTCATCTCTTTTGGAACTGTCCATTTACAAATACATTTTGGCAAGGTGTTTTAGGTTTCATTAGGAGTTCAATTAATAATGAATGTGTCCTGTTTGGAAGGACGTAGTGCTGGGTTTCACTGAGTATGAACAGTCTAATAATAATAATAATAAAAAGAAAGTTTTATGTAGTGAATCTGATTTTGGTGCTTGCAAAATTCCACATTCACAAATGCAAACATTCAAACTCCAGACCTCTCTTTTTTTGTTTTCATGAAAGAATTTGAGCAATACCTTTCATTGATCCAATTGCCTAAAAACAAAAGGGCTTTAAAAGCTATCTGTTTGTAACTCTTTTCCTAACTTCAATGACATGCAATTCTCTAAATGTTCTTCTTCAGTGTGTAAAGTAGTAAAAAGCACCCCCTTTTTCTTTTTTATTGATTGATTTATTCTTAATTTTGTTTGCATTGTCTATTATTTGTATGTGCTGATATTTGTATTACTGTGTTTGAGCATTAATTAAAAAAAATTGAAAAAACAGATGAAATTTTAAAAATAATATAAATATAAATAAATATAAATAAATTTGTCTCTAAATATGTTGATGTTGACAGTATGTGCTCATTTTGTTGAGTTCCTATCACTGTGAAGTAAACCTAAAACATCCAAACTGAATGCTATTATGGTAAAACATATGATAAATCACTGGAATATGTTGTCTTTTTTTCTTTCCTTTTTATTTTATATGGTAAATGTTTATATACGGGGACATTCCCTGTCAATAAACCTACCATTTTGGCCTACTTTTCCACAGATTTTAATTGAGTCGTCTAAATGTCGTCTTTTCATCTGTTTTGTCATTTATTTGGACATACAGGGACTTGTATTTAGAGATGTGTATGTATGCATTAATTTACTTTCATCACAAAGAAAGAGCAGACAAACAGAGCATATTTAAATGGTGCTTGTTTAATGGTAAACCTGAGTTCAAATCGGTAATCGTTTTAATCTGCATTTTATCAAACTAATGGTAAACTGAAATATGCAAACAGTACTAAGTGGAAGAAGAGAGTAGCTTGCAATGCACGTTTGCATTATTTTCTTTGGTGGAAAAGTAGTGCGTGGGACAGAAGGAGGAGGAGCGCTGTGTGTGCAGTGTTGCCAAGTCCGCGGTTTTCCCGCGGAATCGGGCCACTTTAACACTGTTTCCGCGGGTTGTTTTTCATGTCCGCAGGTTGAAGCGACTCCAATAACATGATATGTATCCCCTGGAATGCGATTTTTAACTGGAGACCCCTAGGGCTGGACAATAATTCAATATCAATATGTATCGCGATATAATTCTTTTCAATAACGGTGATATGATTTTTAAACACATTTCCGATATTTCGATATACATTACCAGTGTTTCCCACACATTGATTTATTTGTGGCGTTTGACTTCGTTGAATAAACACGAGCACTGTACGTTTTAAAATCAAAACGTGGCGCGGGTGTTTTATATGAATGTATCTCTGAAGGGAAAGGACTGTCCTCAGAAAAGTTTCGATTACATTTTCATTTTATCTGATAAAGTAGCGTTCATGAGCAGAGCTGCTTTGTTTACAACCATTACAGGTGAAACAGCAAGTTCTGCCGCTCTTAAAGCGCCTCCTGCTGGCAGACAATCAGTTTTTCAATTTTCAATAAGCCCGTCTCCAGCAACATGTTTTTGTTGTTGCTCTTTTTTTCTGCAGCAACTCAGAGCACTTTTCATATTCGTTATCCTGGCTGAAGCACATTTGTTTCAATCTATAACAATAATCAGCCACCCTACATTACCAGTCAAAGGTTATTGAACAGTAAGATTTTTAATGTGTTTTTTTTTGTTTTAAGAATTATCTTCTGCTCACCAAGTCTGCATTTATTTGATCCAAAGATAGAAAAGAGTTATTTTTAAATAGTACAATTATTTCAAAATGTTACTGTTTTTGCTGTATTTTGGATCAAATAAATGCAGTCTTGGTGAGCAGAAAAGAATTCTTTAAAAACAATAAAAATCTTACTGTTCAAAAACGTTCGACTGGTATGTTAGAAGATATTAATAATTAATAAGGTGAGTCTGAGATGTTTATTTGACAGTGATTTCATATTTCTTGTTTGTATGAAGGCTAATAAAAGGTGAACATTAATTTATTTGTGCTGTTTTTTTTTTCTAAAGTATTATATGGTTTTATATGAGGTGTCATAGACTTGGCAAATTCATTTTTCATAAAAACATCTGTTGTGGGCGTTCTTGGCAGTTTTCACAAGGCTTTTTTAAATAGTGTTCATATCGATATCGGAATTATATCGTATCTACCGAAATTAAGAAATATATCGTGATATAAATTTTGGCCATATCGTCCAGCCCTAGGGACCCCCTCGAAACGCGATTGGGCTAGTTTTGAGTAGCGATTAGGAGGGTTTTCTTATGAAAACCTGGCAACCCTGTAGTGTGTGTGTATTATTAGAATAGCGACACACTCTCTCTTGTGCTCGCACACCAAGCATGGCTGGCGACAGTGAAACACATCTGAAGGACAGAGCGGAGAACGGCCACAACACCAGACAGCCGTTCCTCATCGGTGTGTCTGGAGGCACCGCCAGCGGAAAGGTCTGAGCTTTATGAGTGTTTGTCAATAACCGTACAGCCCCAGACGCTATTATCATGTCGGTTAACGGGGGGTTTCTGTGCCTCCAGCGACCGCGTTGCTTTATAATATCATAATATACACGAAAAGCGATTTTATAAATTCCACATATGGGATTTTATAACGTATTCATACGTCCCTATATCACACAGGTCTACAACTTAATTATTTAAAACCTTTATATTTTTGCCATTTCTTTGTCTTTTGCTTCACTAAGTGAATTGCGCGCGGAAATAATTAAAACGTTAAACTAACCGACAACCCATAATTTCCATAATCCCGTTCAGATGTGTCCGGTTCGTGTTTATCATCGGGTTAAATGTCGAGTACGCCATTAGCTCCACTGTTGTCGTTTATTTGCTTGCAAGCGACCTCGAATGTCGAAATCGGATGTTGACATGTTTATTTGTTGCCATGCTGGTTTAAAAGTGGTTTGAGTTCTCCGTTAAAAAAAAAAAAAAAAGTGTTACTTCCTCAAGTAGGCGAAGGAAAGTTGCGGGAAAGTGACGTCATAATAGCGGAGGATGTTTACATTGTATCAAAGCGTTCATTAAGCTTCCGCTGACCTTCATGTGCAGGAAACATCACACCCGCCGCTAAAGAATGAACTTGTGAAAACTCTTTGAACAAAATTCAACTTGCAGGCAAAATGGGGTTGCCTTGTTTATAGGTCGCCCTTAGGAAAACGTCCCTCTTTTATAAATGACCCAGATTTGAAATGCTTTGGCCAATGAATGGAGGCCGTTCTTCCCCGCTGAATGTCCTTACATGGGATACATGAGCGATTTCCCAGAGTTCACAGCACATGTCTGCAGAGACTAGGGATGCAACGATTATAGATTTTGGTGGTACGATTATTGTCTGAGGAATAATCACGGTTTTACGATTATTATAATTAGTATTATTTATTCATATCCCAGCATTACTAATGTATAAAATCACATGAACACTCTTGAGATATTAAAGTGTTATTTATTGCTGGCTTTTGAAACAGAAATAACCCGGTAACCAACAATACAGCACAAAATAATAATAAACAAAAGTCCATCTCTCCCATTGGAATTAAAAAACAGGTGACCTCTGCTCTGTAAACATCCATGACAGTATTTCTCTTTTGAAAATAACAAATGGAAATGGATCACAAAAGTGTTTAATGTTTTCAGTTTGTACGTTCTTTACATTTCTTTTGGACCTGGGGTAGAGACTTTGGAAACATGGTGAAAAAAAAAAAATCTTGTTGGTTTTTACTTCTGAATGATACTACAACGGGGACAGTTAATGAAGTAGCCTATTATTAATATACGACTAATATTAACTTTATTTGTCCCACGGTGGAAACTGTTACTAATGATGGACATAAACTGAAATATGATTGTAATCAGCTGTCATCCATACGTATTCATTTTAATAATCTCCATCTAATGCATGTAGTAGCCTCCGTGCCTTTTAAGCTGGTGCACCGCTAGTGTAACTTTTTTCATTTTGCGTAAGCTGCAACAGTTTCGTTGCGTGTAACCGAAACACTCGGTTTAGCGGAACCTTTACGATTAATTAACCGTGACGTTTTAAAGCGCGGTTAATCGCGAAACCGGTTAATCGCTGCATCCCTAGCAGAGACCCCAATGGTTTATCTGTAGTACAAGTTAAAAATATTCACCAAAACATGCCATCATTTGCTCCCCTTTTTCATGTTGTGCGGAACATAATTTTTGATATGAAGAATATTTGTAATCTAACTGTTGGTGCCCATTGACTTCCATATTGTATGGACTACAAACACTAAGAAAGTCATACAGGTTTGGAACGACATGAGGACAAGTAAATTACAGTTTTTGAACTATTCCTTTAACTCCGTAAGCCTGACATATAAAATAATAGTCAGAAAAGCTTATTGTTTTATCTAGCTTATTGAAACTTTAGACAATTTTTTAAAAATGCTGGTGGAAATAAAGTTTCGCTGTTTGGTCCCTCTGTCACAGTTCATCTAATGCATGTAGTAGCCTCCGTGCCTTTTAAGCTGGTGCACCGCTAGTGTAACTTTTTTCATTTTGCGTAAGCTGCAACAGTTTCGTTCCGTGTAACCGAAACACTCGGTTTAGCAGAACCTTTACGATTAATTAACCGTGACGTTTTAAAGCGCGGTTAATCGCGAAACCGGTTAATCGCTGCATCCCTAGCAGAGACCCCAATGGTTTATCTGTAGTACAAGTTAAAAATATTCACCAAAACATGCCATCATTTGCTCCCCTTTTTCATGTTGTGCGGAACATAATTTTTGATATGAAGAATATTTGTAATCTAACTGTTGGTGCCCATTGACTTCCATATTGTATGGACTACAAACACTAAGAAAGTCATACAGGTTTGGAACGACATGAGGACAAGTAAATTACAGTTTTTGAACTATTCCTTTAACTCCGTAAGCCTGACATATAAAATAATAGTCAGAAAAGCTTATTGTTTTATCTAGCTTATTGAAACTTTAGACAATTTTTTAAAAATGTGTTTGAGTATCATATTTGATACATCAGGCTTTTATGGCTCATATAGTATGATACATGTGAATATGGAGATCTTTATTACGGACTACTTGCATAAAATGCATAAAAATATAAGTTTTCAGTTTCACTCTATATCTCCCATTAATATGCCTTAGTAAGATGCCTTAGTAACATGCTTAGTTTTGTGATCAAAGCTCTGTAGTTTTAACTGAGGGACAAAACGTATAATGCCGCGCAATTATGATTGAGAGATCTACAAATGTGCATTCCTCAAAAGCCCTATGTATCACATTTAATACTCACATTTTAACATGATTATTCTAAATAATGACATATGTGACCCTGGACCACAAAACCAGTCTTAAGTGTCAATTTTTCAAAATTTAGATTTATTCATCACAAGAAAGCTGAATAAATAAGCGTACCATTGATGTATGGTTTGTTAGGATAGGATAATATTTGGTCGAGATACAACTATTTGAACATCTGGAATCTGAGGGTAAAAAAAAATCTAAATATTGAGAAAATCGCCTTTAAAGTTGTCCAAATGAAGTTCTTAGGAATGCACATTACTAATCAAAAATTAAGTTTTGATATATTTACGGTAGGAAATTTTTGAGTATCATATTTGATACATCAGGCTTTTATGGCTATATATAGTATGATATATGAGAATATAGAGATCTTTATTACGGACTACTTGCATAAAATGCATAAAAATATAAGTTTTCAGTTTCACTCTATATCTCCCATTAATATGCCTTAGTAAGATGCCTTAGTAACATGCTTAGTTTTGTGATCAAAGCTCTGTAGTTTTAACTGAGGGACAAAACATATAATGCCGCGCAATTATGATTGAGAGATCTACAAATGTGCGTTCCTCAAAAGCCCTATGTATCACATTTAATACTCACATTTTAACATGATTATTCTAAATAATGACATATGTGACCCTGGACCACAAAACCAGTCTTAAGTGTCAATTTTTCAAAATTTAGATTTATTCATCACAAGAAAGCTGAATAAATAAGCGTACCATTGATGTATGGTTTGTTAGGATAGGATAATATTTGGTCGAGATACAACTATTTGAACATCTGGAATCTGAGGGTAAAAAAAAATCTAAATATTGAGAAAATCGCCTTTAAAGTTGTCCAAATGAAGTTCTTAGGAATGCACATTACTAATCAAAAATTAAGTTTTGATATATTTACGGTAGGAAATTTACAAAATATCTACATGGAACATGATCTTTACTTTAATATCCTAACTATTTTTGGCATAAAAGAAAAATCTTTCATTTTGAGCCATACAATGTATTTTTGGCTATTGCTACAAATATACCCCAGCGACTTGAGACTGGTTTTGTGGTCCAGGGGCACATATGGATAACCAACTAAAATGTATGCAGTCCAGTAAGTGTTCATATTTAAATATTACTAACAATATAAAGTTTTCATGTTAAGTTGATACAAATCAGTCAAGATTTCACAGCAAAATGACACGTGTACCACGACCTGAAGGGGAACGTTTTTTTAGAATTATACTAAAAGGCCTTTTACTTAGACGACAGAAGGCATGTAGTAGATTGTGTACAACAGGTTTTCCAGCAAATTTTTGATCATGTTGATAATGTAGAGGCCTTCGAAGGCCTCAGTGTTAATAACACAAACACTGTGGCTATAGGTTGAGTATATCTGAACTGGGTAGCTTAGAGTTTAGCACTTAAAACTAAGTGGTTTTGTGTTTTCTCCTCTCAGTCTTCGGTATGTGAGAAGATCATGGAGCTGTTGGGCCAGAATAAAATTGACCGTCACCAGCGGCAAGTGGTCATCCTCAGTCAAGACAGCTTTTACAGGGAGCTCACACCTGAACAGAAAGCTAAAGCACTCAAGGGCCAATTCAACTTCGATCACCCAGGTACTTTAATGTCTGAGGGTTGTTAAAGAAGTCAGAAGTTCACTCAGAAGTTAGAATATGCTCATCTATTACTTCTATTCATGGAATGCAAAAAAACCCCGTCCCATTACTACGCATGTGAGAACCAATGGTGTTTTCTGTTAGTCTTCAATTTTGGTTCAATCCTTACACAAAACTATCACATGGTTTCTCAAGGCACGTGTCATATGGACTACGTTTATGGACATTCCTTTTAAAGAATAATCGGTTTATCAATGTTTCTGTCATTCACAGATGCTTTCGACAATGAGCTGGTCATGAAGACTCTGCGTGACATCATTCAGGGGGAGACTGTGCACATCCCAGTTTATGACTTTGTTACCCATTCCAGGTCAGTGCTGCACTCTGTCTCTTCACAAGTTGCTGTTTTGGGTGTTCAGATGGGTGAATCACCATTGGATGTGTTATCTTTTGAATCATATGTTCTCCACACATCTTACAGGAAGGATGACTTTGTGACCGTGTATCCAGCAGATGTGGTTCTCTTTGAGGGGATTCTCATGTTCTACTCACAAGAGATTCGAGATCTGTTCCAAATGAAGCTGTTTGTGGACACAGACCCAGACACGCGCCTCTCGCGAAGAGGTAGATGAATTGTGTGACATTTTGGTTTAAGTAGTGCTTTTTGTCTTTCTTTCTTACCTGTGTAAGTAGAATAGATCTAAGGACTGATTATAATGAGAGTGATTTCATCTGGGTTTACAGGGTCATTATCATTACATGAAACTAGGAATAATCATTTGTGTTAAATAGAAATTAATGCAAAGAATTTAGCATTTTGCTGCATTCCAAAGTTCAAGTTTGAACTGACCTGTGAATTTTTATTAATACCAATAGAAGATATATATGTATATGTGTGTGATCTTTGCAGAATTAAAAGAATGTAAATGTTAAAGCTGCATGTGTGTAGTGTTGCAGGAAAGGTATTTTTCATTTTATATTTTTACATTTTGGAGTTATATATTGAATTTTATGTTTTTAAATAAGAAAACATAGAGCATCATGTCATATTATGATCTGTGCAGTATCTGAAGAAATTGTGTTCTCAATCTAGTGTAACTGACATTATACTTACAAAAAAAAAAGAAGACTTCAAAGTATGTTTAAAATAAGTTTAAGTACTAAAATTAGTAAAACAGGAAGTTAAATATTAAAGAAATATTACAATAGAAAAAAACGAATAAAAATGAAAAAAAAAAAAACTATAAAAGTCAAGTCACCTTTAAGCCCCGTTCACACCAAGAACAATAACGATAAAGTTCTAAAAATCGTTCTCAATATTAAAGAATAGCAGAGTCCACACCACAGCTATAACGATAAACGCACAGAGAAACGAAATCGCTGGAATCACTTTCAAAACGATTTTTCTCCAGCCGATGAACGACAGCCAATCAGAATCCATCCTGCTGTAACGAGCTCAAGAATTTAATGCGGCAGACAGGTGCGCTTAGAATAAACCGACGATATCGTTCGCTGGTGTGGACGCTAATATCGTTATCTTTATAATTATCGTTCTTGGTGTGAACGGGGCTTTATTTATATAGCACTTTATACAATACAGATTGTGTCAAATCGGCTTTACAGTGTTAAACTGGAAAATAATGATAACATTAATTATATCTAACTTTTTAATGTATTTTACGTCTTTAAATATTTCAATGAGACAAAGGATCTTTCATTTGTATGTGGTATGCTTGATTATTTAAAAAAAATCAGCCATTATTATGTATTTTATAAAACACGTTTGTGCTGAACATCCAGCAATAATAGCTGTATTGAGGTCAAATAAGCGTGAAGGTTTGGTTAACCCGCCCAACACTTGTATGTTTTTATCAGTGTTGCGGGACATCGGTGAGAGAGGCAGAGAGTTGGAGCAGGTTCTGAACCAGTACATCACCTTTGTGAAGCCAGCCTTTGAGGAGTTCTGTCTTCCTGTGAGTATCTTCATAAAAGCCTTTCCAAATCCTTCTGAACTAAACTTCACTTCTCCGTTATTATAGCTGCTTTTAACTATACTTTATTGTTAGAAAAGGTGTCACGTGTATATACCAACTTGACACCTTCCATCTGCTTCCTCACTGTTACTCCATTTTTGTGCCCTAAATTATTTTTGACATTTATATTTGCAGACCAAAAAGTATGCAGACGTCATCATCCCCCGAGGAGCAGACAATCTCGGTGAGTCAGTAGTCACTAGTTATTTGATATGGCATGCACACTGGAGCCTATAAAAGTCAAGTCACCTTTAAGCCCCGTTCACACCAAGAACAATAACGATAAAGTTCTAAAAATCGTTCTCAATATTAAAGAATAGCAGAGTCCACACCACAGCTATAACGATAAACGCACAGAGAAACGAAATCGCTGGAATCACTTTCAAAACGATTTTTCTCCAGCCGATGAACGACAGCCAATCAGAATCCATCCTGCTGTAACGAGCTCAAGAATTTAATGCGGCAGACAGGTGCGCTTAGAATAAACCGACGATATCGTTCGCTGGTGTGGACGCTAATATCGTTATCTTTATAATTATCGTTCTTGGTGTGAACGGGGCTTTATTTATATAGCACTTTATACAATACAGATTGTGTCAAATCGGCTTTACAGTGTTAAACTGGAAAATAATGATAACATTAATTATATCTAACTTTTTAATGTATTTTACGTCTTTAAATATTTCAATGAGACAAAGGATCTTTCATTTGTATGTGGTATGCTTGATTATTTAAAAAAAATCAGCCATTATTATGTATTTTATAAAACACGTTTGTGCTGAACATCCAGCAATAATAGCTGTATTGAGGTCAAATAAGCGTGAAGGTTTGGTTAACCCGCCCAACACTTGTATGTTTTTATCAGTGTTGCGGGACATCGGTGAGAGAGGCAGAGAGTTGGAGCAGGTTCTGAACCAGTACATCACCTTTGTGAAGCCAGCCTTTGAGGAGTTCTGTCTTCCTGTGAGTATCTTCATAAAAGCCTTTCCAAATCCTTCTGAACTAAACTTCACTTCTCCGTTATTATAGCTGCTTTTAACTATACTTTATTGCTAGAAAAGGTGTCACGTGTATATACCAACTTGACACCTTCCATCTGCTTCCTCACTGTTACTCCATTTTTGTGCCCTAAATTATTTTTGACATTTATATTTGCAGACCAAAAAGTATGCAGACGTCATCATCCCCCGAGGAGCAGACAATCTCGGTGAGTCAGTAGTCACTAGTTATTTGATATGGCATGCACACTGGAGAGATGTAATTTGATCTCACTTTCTTTCTAGTGGCTATTAATCTGATTGTGCAGCATATTCAGGATATCCTGAATGGAGGAGTCACCAAACGGCAGAACGGTTTTCAGGACGTCCACGAAAGCCCCAGACAAAGACGGCCGTCTGAGTCGAGTCGACCTCACTGACCTCACTGTGGCCCTTCCCTCCATTGAGGAGAGGACAGAACTGAATAATAACAGTGTACGTCCCATTCATCCAATGACAATGAAGGGATGCAGCAGCTGAAATGCCTTTGTTATAGTGACTATTATTTGCATTTGAAATGTTGTGCATAATTGTTTGCTGATACAGGCTTTTGAAAGTGCTATGTTTTTTGGAAGGTTTGATTGCAAACTCAGCCTGTCCTGTCAGTGTGTCTATCTGCTTTCTTAGATGCTCGGAAAATAAATGAATAGTATGGAATGTTTTGTCAGACTGGACGTAGAGACAACTTTGATTACAGTGCTATTTGCGTACGTACTTGAAGTCAGAGCTCAGGTTGGGTGGGTTGTTCCATCCACTAAAGAAAAAACCTTAGTACCTCATATTTGAGGCTTTTTTTATATGCGTGTGTGATTGAAGAGATGCGTGATTTTGTAATGATGCAACATGGTACACTAGCATTTTATATAGTTTTTTTGTAGCTTTCTAGTTAATTCTCAATGTTGATATGCGGTTCTTACAGTTGTAGTTTTTTGTACATATGACGTGACGCGTTTTGTCGACTATATTTACAGTTTTACCAGAACTGGTTCTTGATTTTTCCCGTCATATCTTAGTGTGCATACATAGTATTTTACCCCAGTTACTAAAGTACTACATCCCCAGATAAAATCAGGGATTATATTAAAAACCTCAATCACAATTATTGTTAACACCAAAAAACTGATTACTTGAGTAAGCCTATATTTATTTTAGTAACCCTGTGCTAGGAATTTTTCACTGGATAACTTATTTACATCTGATTTTGTTGACTAATAATCCATTATGTTGTGGTGGAATAAAATAATAAAACTATACACAACTATATGTCTCTTTGTTACACTCGTTTCATGCATGTAATACCCACGCAATTGGATGTCGTGCAGCAGCGGAGATGTGGCTCATTATGGGTGTATGCATGTGTGTAAAAATATTATTACTTTAAGCAGTTCACTGTTTTTATGGAAATTGAGAAATCACTCACTTTTCAGGATCTTTAACTATTTATAGATTTAGAGTCATTCATAATGTGATGAATACTACTGATAATAATGTAACGTTACTGATAATTGTAGTGAAACCTGTTCAATTTAATGCCATATAATTGAATATCTGACTCCTGTCCTTGCAGCTGAAGTGTGGGAATTGTGGTGAGGTGTCAGATAAATGGCAGTACATCACCTTACTGGTAGGTTGAAAAGTGTGGGAAATAGAGTTAATAACTGGTTTGCATCATATACTAGTATTGTTGCAAGATATTCACATGCTTTTGTCCAAATCAGCTTAAAAACGAGGAACAAAAAGGGAGCAAACAACATTAGCAGTGAAGATATGTTCATCTTCCCTATTTTAAAAGCATTTTTTCTATTACATTTTGCAAGTAAACAGAAAATAAATAAATAATATTTCAATAAAACACTGAAAAGGGAACAAACATGCAGTTTTCATTGTGATTTTTTCCCCCAATAAATGTGTTTTCATTATTTCTCAAAAAAGTGACACACAATGCAATTGACATTTTTCTCTCCTAAGTTTTCAATGCATTTTATGTCCCTTTCTTCACAATGTGTAAAAAAAATAATTGAAAAATTGCTTTTGAAATAATTTTAAAAATACACGAATAAGCACTGCCACACTGCATTGCAGAGAAAACATTTAATAAATATGTCACAAAGAAATTAAAATTTTGTCACCCCCATGGCTGTTCCAAAACAGTGATTTTATTTATTTATTTTTATTTATAGTTAAGTTGTTATTCATTCAAAATCTCGCCTTCATTGATACACTGCACTTTTGCATTTGTGTTATTTCATGCATACTAAATTGCCTTAGTGCATAGAAATAAACATCTGTGTAGTGATCGTTGGTCCTTTCCTTTCTTCAGGACAGCATGCCACTGAAAGGAGGACGAGGGAGTGCTAGCATGGTGCAGAAGTGCAAACTGTGTTCTCGGGAAAACTCCATAGGTAACCAAACTACTAGCTAGTAAATGTGCTGATAAAATGCTTACACATGGCCTGAATCTCTATTGGTGTTTCTATATTTTTGCTTTGGCCGTGGGTAAGTGCATATGGATGGCTTATTAGTCTTAACTGGATGTCTTACTTTCCAGCTATCCTGAGGGACACAATTACACCTTACAATGTAAGGCAGAATAAATTCATTTTTTTGTTTGTTAATTTAAAAACCACAATTTCTAGTTACATAATGCATATAGTATTGCTGGTACATGTATTTTCTCTTCTGAAGGCAGAAGACAGTGAAAGGTATAAGACAATTGTCCAGTTTGAGTGTCGAGGTCTGGAACCAGTCGATTTTCAACCTCAGGTGAGATTCCAATAGTATAGTATAGTGTATATATTTTTTTTAAAGAAATGAAAGTATTGATTCAGCAAGGAAGCATTAAATTACTCAAAAGTGACAGTGAAAACATTTATGAAAGATTTGTTACAAAAATATTTATTTTCAATTAAATGCCGTTGTTTTGAACTTTCTATTGACCAAAGAATCCTGAAAAAAAAAAATACGTTGGTCTCCACAAAAATATATATTTTTTAAACATTGATAATAATAATGTTTCTTGAGCAGCAAATCAGCATATTAGAATGATTTCTGAAGGATCATGTGACACTGAAGACTGGAGTAATGATGCTGAAAATTCAGCTTTGCATCACAGGAATGAACTATATTTTAAACAGTTGTTTTAAATTGTAATATTATTTAAAAATATTTCAATATTTTATTATAGTTTTGATCACATAAATGCAGCATCGGTGATGAGCTTAAGAGACTTCTTTCAAAAACATTTAAAAAATCTTGCTAACCGTAAATTTTTGAATGGTAGTGTATATAATTAAATAGTTGTTAAATTATCTTTACCCTAATCTGAATAAAACACATAAACATTCACTTTATTTTTCAGGCTGGTTTTGCCGCTAGAGGAGCAACAACATCTACCCAGTTCCCTGAAATCAACCTGCAAGAGAAGGTAAGAAAGAAAAAAAAGGAATTCTCATATCATATCACACCTTCTAGTTCATTCAGGAGCTCATAACATTCTCTTTTACATATTTCAGGACTGGACGGACTACGATGAGAAGGCCAGTGAGTCTGTGGGGATCTATGAGGTCACACATCAATTCCTCAAGTGCTGAAAAATGAAGAGGTCTGATTGAAGAACAACTGATTGGTTACTGAATGAAGAATGAAGTTTTAAATTGACTGCACCACACTCTTGTTAGTCAGTGCTGATTGGTAAAAGGCTTATTATGTGTGAGATGGACAGTAAGTTTGGTTATACTATACTACAATAATAAAGTATGGAATGATTGGATATTTTTGTGTTTGTGTTTATGTGGGTTTGTCTTTTAGTAAAATGATCCAGAAAAGGAGAAGAGAGGCAGAGGAATATATTTACATGCCATTGTGACACATGGCAAGTACATTTACATTTAATCATTTAGCAGACGTTTTTATCCAAAGCAACTTACAAATGAGGGCAATAGAAGCCATCAAAACAACAAAAGAGCAACAATATATAAGTGTTGTGACAAGTCCCAGTTAGTCTAACACAGTACATATAGCAAGCTTTTTTTCTGTTTCTTTTTTAAATGTTTTTTATAATAAAAGAATAAAAAGTAGATAGAAAAGAGATAGAATAGAGCTAGTGTTAGAGGATAGTGTCAAGTTATTATTATTTTCATAATTAAAAAGAAAACAAGTAGATAGAATAGAATTATGATAGAGAGTGTTAGTTTTAGAGGGCCAAGTGTAGATGGAACAGATGAGTCTTCAGCCATTTCTTGAAGATGGCTAAAGACACGAGTTTGGGCAGGTCATTCCACCAGCAGGGAACAGTGAAGGTAAAAGTCTGGGAAAGTGATTTTGAGCCCTTTTTAGGGTGGCACTATAATGCGCCATTCATTTGCAGAATGCAAACTTCTGGAAGGCACGTAAGTCTGAAGTAGTGAATTTAGGTAAAGGTTGTTTTGTAGGCAAACATCAATGCCTTGAATTTTATGCGAGCAGCTATTGGTAGCCAGTGCAAACTGATGAACTGATGTGTGACATGAGCTCTTTTCGGCTCGTTAAAGTCTAATCTTGATGCCGTGTTCTGGATTAATTGTAAAGGTTTATTAGAACTGGCTGGAAGACCTGCTAAGAGAGCATTGCAATAGTCCGGGTCTGCATAAAACAAGAGCTTGAACAAGGAGTTGTGTAGCATGTTCCGAAAGAAAGGGCCTGATCTTCTTTATGTTGTATAAAGCAAATCTGCAGGACCAGGCAGTTTTAGCAATGGGGTCTGTGAAATTTCATCTGATCATCAATCACAACTCCAAGGTTCCTGGCTGTCCTTGAAAGAGTTATAGTTGATGCACCTAGCTGTATGGACAAATTGTGATGAAGTGATGGGTAGTCTGAAACCACAGGCAGGTCTTGGCAAGGTTGAGTTGAAGGTGATGGTTCTTCATCCAGCAGAAAATGTCTGTTAGTCATGCTGGGATTCGAGCAGCTATCGTTGGATCATCCGGATGGAATGAGAGGTAAAGTTGAGTGTCATCGGCATAGCAGTGAGATGAAAAGCCATGTTTCTGAATGACAGAACCTAGAGATGCCATGTAGACAGAGAAGAGAAGTGCTCCAAGAACTGAGCCCTGAGGCACCCCAGTAGCTAGATGTTGCGACTTGGACACCTCACCCCTCCAAGATACCTTGAAGGACCTATCTGAGAGATAAGATTCAAACCGCTGGAGTGCAGTTCCTGAGAATCATTGTAAGTTTACAATGCTGAACATTTTGTCAGTGAACATCAATGGGACATTTTAAGAAAATATTTATTCATTTATTTGGTGAAATATTTCTATACATTACAAACACCAATAGATAGCACACTTCAGAATTGAGATTTCAGTTATCAAATTGTAAGTACTGCAATAGTGCAAATAAAGCCAAATGGCAGTAAACATACATTAAATATGTTGGGCTATAGTGTGAAATGTGTACAGAGAGATTACTTAAAACAGAAGGCTAAACATAGTGTCATAGGAAAATCTTCTAATCTAACATAAGAGAGATTTCATACAAAATTACATGTTCTTGAATCTTGAAATTTAATAATAAAAAAATGTATCTTTTAGAAATTAATATTTATAATGGTATCTCCAATAATCACTGTTGCATCTAAGCCATTGATTGTCTCTCTAGAACAAGCAACAAGGTATTTACTGAAGTCACACATCACAAATCATCATAATATAAAATGTATCTGTTTCAATGTGTATTCCCTAAAAGTTACTGGTATCTGTTTTACTTTTTAATACTGTACTTGGTAACAATTTAGATTAGGGAACACAAATTCAATATTAACTAGGAGTTTTACCTCAATAAACTCCTCTTTTGCTGCTTATTGGTAGTAAGGTAGTTGTTGCAGTATGTTTAGGTATTAGGTAGGGTTAAGGGATCTAGAAAATGGTCGTGCAGAATAAATCATTAATATGTGTTTTATACGTGCTAATAAACAGCCAATATGCATGCTAATAAGTGACTAGTTAATAGTGAGTAGTGTTCACTAAAGTGTTACTATATACTTTTAAGAATTCCAATGTAACAAGTTTTGAATTAGATAATGTCTGTTCCAATTGTTACTGATAAAAGTTTTATCTCGTTAGGGACAAATTCTCACTATCAACTAGTTGCTTATTAGCATGCATATTGATTACTAGTATATTGGCTGTTTATTAGTTCTTAAAAAGCACACATTAATGTTTTATGCATGACCATATTTTAGAACACCTAATCTGACCTCATACCTAAACTTAACAACTACTTTACCGACTATTAATAAGTAACAAATTAGGAGTTAATTGAGGCAATGGTCATAGCTAATAGTTAGTTAATATTGAGACTGGTCTTCAAACTAAAGTGTGACCAAAAAGTGTCTAATAAATAGGTACCATACAAGTCACTATGAGAACATATAGGAGTACTAGTTGGTACAATTATTAAGTTATAACTTATTTCTTGTCCCTTTTATTCAAGTGCCAAAAGGAAATTCTGTCACTTATTCACCCTCATGTCACTCCAAACCTGCATGAGTTTCTTTCTGTGGAACTCAAAAGAAGATATTTTGAAGAATGTTCTAACAGATTAATTTCCCACGGACTTCCAGTATATGGACAAAAAAATTCAAGGGAAGTCAATGGGAACCAAAACTGCTTGATATCTGCTTGGTATGTTTTGTTTTGTGTGTGTGTGTTCCGTAGAAGAAAGTAAGTCATAATGGTCTTTGAACAGCATGAAGGTGAGTAAATGAAGACAGAATAAACATTTTTTGTGAACTATCCCTTTAAAGTATGATTCTATCTATGACATTTTCCATTGTCTTATCTCTAATCTAATGTTTTTTTTTACTCTGTCCACCATAGGTTGGTTATGACATGACCCGTCTTGCAGCTCAGAGGTGCTTTGACGCTGCTTGTCTGAAGCCGACAAATGTTGACGTCATCGAGCTGCACGACTGCTTCTCTGCCAATGAGCTCATCACCTATGAAGCTCTGGGACTGTGTCCCGAGTGTGAGATGTACGGCTTCCCAAGCACACTTTTCTAGCACAGCAAAAAGCTGCTAAACACAAGTTTAGATTAGCAGTGCGTTTAAGATTTTGCATTTGTAGGTAAAACTTTTGAGCTGATCGATCGGGGTGATAACACATATGGTGGCAAATGGGTGATAAACCCTAGTGGAGGACTCATCTCAAATGGACACCCGCTTGGAGCTACAGGTACCAGATATTTAAAAAAATATATATAATAATTAGGTTACATGTCAAACTGTAATTTTTGAAAAACTGTAAAAATAAAAATACATTAATGTGGTTAAACCAAAAAATTTAAATCGCTTTGTTATTTATAAGGAATTCTTTGCCATTTACTGGGCAACCTAGGCATGGCAGTTGCTACTCTGCCATACACCATTGACGCTCCTGCTTGACAGTGTCCATCCTTCATGTGTTTGTGTCTGCATGTGGTTCTCCACCAGCAGGGGGGGTCATATCTCTTAACTACTGAATTAACACTGGATGCATGCAGTACATCAGTTCTGCAGCTGGCTTGAGTTAGGGCTACGTTCACACTGCAGGCAAATGTGGCCCAAATCCGATTTTTTTGCTCACATGAGACTCAGATCTGTTTTTGTCATGACAGTGTGAACAGCACAAACCGCATGGAATCTGATCTTTTCAATTCCGATTTGTGCCACTTCCATATGTGGTACTAAATCTGATACATGTCCGATGTTTTGCAATGCGACTGCAGTGTGAACAGTCATGTCGGATTTCATGCGATTTTTACATCACTCTAGATCGACATTCGTCATAATTCCGCGCTGACGGGAGACACGTCGAAGATTTTTACATACCCAAAGTTATCAAGACATTTGCGAAAGGTAATCAGTGGAAGTGTAATGTGTCAGAACTCATAAAACTCACTCATACAGTGACGACTCAACAAAACATGAGGGCTCGTATTATAAAAGCTTCAAAACTCTGCTCTCTTCTGTCACATTCTTGTCTTTATTTTTCATATTGCCTGCACATAATTTTGCCGGATTCCGCAGCAGATCACACTATAAATAAATTCATAATCGCTTACTTTATGTCCTCCGTGTTTACTTCCGTATGACAGCGCGCTGTGCAAGTGTTGCCAAATCCAGAGTTTCCCCATGGAATTAGGCTACTTTTCCACTGTTGCCGTGGGATGTTTTTCAACTTCGTGGGTCGACGCGACCCCACTAACGCGATATTTATCCCCCTGAACATGGTTGTGCTAGTTTGGACTAGTTTTGAGAAGCAATTGGGCGGATTTTGTTGTGTAAACCTGGAAACCCTGTTCGTATGTGCTCTGTTGCGCATGCGGGTCAGTTCAGAACCATGATCTGTTCACACTGTAAAACTGATATTGGCCACATTTAAAACAACAATGTGAACAGCTACACAAAAAAATCGGTTCTGAGAAAATATCGGAACTGAGCACTAAGGCTCGCAGTGTGAACGTAAGGAAAGGATATGGACCAGAAGACATTGCAATTACTAAATGATATTTAGACAGACTTAAAGAAGTTCCAGATCTATACTTGTGCCCTTATTATTTCAGTTATTTTGCCTTTAATGTAAATAAACACGTGCAAACAATATAATTGCTCTTGTGAATTTATTTGGATGTTAATTACATTGTGCGAGCTGTCTCTTTAATGCTGCGTGGTTTACATACATGCTGCTGCTGATTGGGCTGACATGTTTGACACACCCACCAAACAAGAGAAAACGCATCTCAAACCATGCTGCACACCGTTGCACACCGTTTCCAGGAAACATGTCGTTCAAACCGGAAACCGTAGCAAAGCGGTGCACACCGGTTTGAGCTTGAACTTGCCCCTGGTGTGGAACGATGGGCTCTTTACGTCATCCTTTTAACCTTTCCATCCATCCATCCATGTCTCTTCCTCAAAGACCTCCAAGAAAGTACCTTGTCCGCTTTGTGCCAGTTTTGTTTACTAATGATTAGAAGACAGAAGAACCAACAGGTCATAGAATAAAGCAACACTCACATAGAACCAATGAAGAGAGATGGCTGTGACTTTCAGAGCGAGTGAAGACGGTGGATGAACTCTGGCATGTTTTCATGGCTCAGGTCTGGCTCAGTGTGCAGAGCTGTGCTGGCAGCTGAGGGGGGAGGCGGGGCCTCGGCAGGTCCCCAGGGCAAAGGTCGCCCTGCAGCACAACATCGGTCTTGGTGGAGCGGTGGTCGTCACTCTCTACAGGATGGGCTTTCCTCAAGAAACAAGGTATGTTTAAAGCTTAAATATGTTGTGTGAACTGTCTTAACAAACACTGAGATGACTGGCCTAAATATATCCAGCTCACCTCGTTTATAGTTTTGTTTTAATCTATATGATCTATATATTCAAAATTCGTCAATTATTTTCCAAAATCCCTAATATCCGTTCAAAAGTTTGGGCTTGGTAAGATTTTATGTTTTTGAAGGTTTCTTCTGCTTTCCAAGGCTAAAGCTGCATTGTTTTTAATTAAAATACAGTATTAACAGTAATATTGTAAAATATTATTACCATTTAAAATGACTCTTTTCTATTTTATTATATTTTAAAATGTAATTTATTTCTGTGATGCAAAGCTGAGTTGTCAGCATCATTACTCAGTCTTCTGATATGATGATTTGGTGCTCAAGTAACAATTTTTTTCATTATCAATGCTGAAAACTCAACCGTGATACTTTTTTTTTTTTTTTTATGAATAGAAAGTTCAAATAACAGAATTTATTTGTAACGGAAATCTGTTGTAACGTGTTATTGACATCCTATTATAGTTTTATTCTGAAATAGTTTATTTATTCTCATTTCCGTTTTAGGTATTTTTGTACAAATTTGCAAGGCAAGCTAAATGAAAATGAGAAATGTTGCCATGTCAGCTAGCTGAAATAAAATGTTTTTTATTATATTATTTATTTTATGTTGTTATGTGTGACCACAAAACCAGTCATAAAGGTCAATTTATTGAAATTGATACATCTAAGCTAAGATATATATACTAAGCTTTTCATTGATGTATAGTTTGTTAGGATAGGAAAATATTTGGATACAACTATTTAAAAATCCGGAATCTGAGGGTGCAAAAATATCAAAATAGTGAGAAAATCGCCTTTAAAGTTGTCCAAATGAAGTCCTTAGCAATGCATATTACTAATGATAAATTTGATACATAATTTTACAAATTATCTTCATGGAACATGATCTTTACTTAATATCCTAACGATTTATGCCATAAAAAAAGATAATTTTGACCAATACAATGCATTGCTGGCTATTGCTGCAAATATACCCGTGCCATTTATGACTGATTTTGTGGTCCAGGGTCACATATGATTATTTATATTAATAATAACTGTTAATAATGTAAAATTATAATAACTGTATACCTGGTTCTGAACTGGCTCAAAAGAGTTAATTGTTTTTGAATCAGACCTTAAGATTATTTTTTATGTTATATTGTTTTATTTCCGTTAACATTTTATTTCAAGTACCAAAAATGTTATTTTTTTATGGCTATAATAACCCTGCTATGTGAAGACCCTAATTTGTTAATCTTGTATTCTTATTTAAAGGCATTTTTCCAAGGAAAACTAAAGATAACTGGGAATATGGGAATGGCCATGAAACTTCAAAACCTTCAGCTGTCAGCTGGAAAAGCCAAACTGTGAATCTGCGTCTCTTGATGAACAGAGAAGATGTGTTTTTGGAGAGATGTTAGAATAATTAATTTCGGAAAATACGTTTTTGCTAATATTGTATGAATGAAGTTGTAACAGTGAGTCTGTTGGTTATTGCAGAAACATAACTGCATAAAGAATACTGTACGTTACTAACATACCTGAAAGACGCAGGCAGAGTATGTCAAAAATGATCCTGCACAATAATAATAATATTATGATATATAAAGATATCACAGTAAAGTGACCTTCCTCAAATCGCCATTGTTTAGTTGTGATTAGCACAGTAAATCACCACTTGAATCTTGCAGATGAACATGGAGCCTGACCTCTCAATTATATAAAGTTAGCTGTCCTATAATGAGCATCTAAATGACTAATATCAGTTGTATCATTACATTTCAAACTATGCCTGCAAAGGCTTATTTTGGACCTTCATATATCATTTGTAGTCAGCTGGATTAAAATAAAAGCTGAGAGTAACAGGCTTTGATTCTGAAATTTTCATTAAATCTTCAAAGGCCTCAGAACTGTGCGTGTTGGAATATTGTCATTTCAAAGCATTTTTGTATAATTGTACATTAATCAATGTAATCAAAAATTACAACACTTATTTCTAATAAATATTCAATTTACTTCAAAATATGCAGTAATTTTCCTAGAATGTCTTTTTTTATATATTTACAGTATTGTAATAATTACAATACAGACTCTGCACTGATAGAGTAGCTTTTGCATTCTCACTTGCTACGAGGAAAACGTGACCATTTTCTTTCTTCTAGGCCATTCTTGAATAACAGAGTTGAACTGCACTTTATTTTCCATAAGCTGAAGACGATTCATAACTCACCTGCTGAACTTTTATCCTGAAGCAGTTTGACCTACAGAAGCTGACCTTAAACTGTAATGGTTTATGGATGCATCCTTCATCTCCAACACTTTCAGCACTGCATATTGTATTAGACAGTATGAGGGTGTGTGGCATGACGTGTGAGCCCATAAAGGCCACTTCTGACAAATTTCACAGAAGTTTGGTTTCAGCATGACCCGACAACTGAACGAGTAAAGAAGTTATACACTAGAGCCGGGGCCAGAAAGCATCGTCCTGAAGAGTTACAGGTCTGGAAACTATTTTCATGAGAGAAAATCATTGATATTTAATTGTTATTTAGTGTTAACATACAAACAATACCATTCAAACATTTGGGGTTGGTAACATTTTTTAATGTTCTTGAAAAAAGTCTCTTATGCTCATTAAGGCTGCATTTCTTTGATCAAACATACAGTAAAACATTAATATTGTGAATGTGAAATTAAATTACAATCTTAAATAACTGTTTGCTATTGGAATATATTTCAAAGCTGAATTTTCAGCATCATTACTCCAGTCTTCAGTGTCACGTGATCCTCCAGAAAGCATGCTGCTCAAGAAACAATTTTTATTATCAATGTTGAAAATAGTTGTATTTTGTGGAAACTGTGATACATTTTTATGATGCTATAGAAAGTTCAAAGAACAGCATTTATTTGAAATATAAACCTTTTGTTACATTAAAAATGGCTTTACTGTCACTTTTGATCAATTTAGTGCCTCC